CTGGAAACACACGGATGAGGTGGGCCATTGTTGACTTAATGAAAGGTAAAATAGTGTGATGTTTTCGGTGTTTAAACCCCTTCAGTGGCTCCCTGCTGTAGACTGAATGTTTCATTCCAACACTAATAACTTGAAGCCCAGCCCCCAGTACAATAGGGTTAAGAAATGAGGTCTCTGGAAGTGATCAGAGTTAGTGATGTCCTGAGTGAGGCACTCAGGATGAGGTTAGCATCCTCATAAGAAGAGGAAGCGACAGAGGTAGAAGATGACTGACCACAGGCCAGGAGAAGGTCCTCAACAGGACCAGGCCATGCCAGTACCTTGATCATGGACATCAGCCTTCACAACCGGCATAAATGAATGTCTGCCATCTACACCAACCCTCCCCTATCCATGGCCTTTTTTATGGCAGCCTGAGCAGATAGAGACATGCCCACTTCATTTCTTCTCCATTTCAGCGGTCTGTAGCTTCCCATTGAGTCTGAGTTGTCTCCTTCCTAATCAACCCCCTTATTTTCTCCATTCTTCCCATTGGCCATCTTGAAGTGATGTGTACCAGGCATCATTCTATCTTAGGGCCTTTGTACTAGATACTCTTACACCTCAAATACTGTCTAGTAGATCCATAGATAGGCAAATTTCTTTCTTAACATCCCTGGGCCTTTACTGACTATCACCTTCTTGGTGATGCCGTTCCAAAAACCACAGTGATCACCCCATCTTCACTCTCCTCCTTCTTACTCTCTTTCTGTGAAATTCTTATTTTTCTCTCACGTAATCAGTTAATTATTTGGGAATTTTTTTTTTTTTACTTTTAGGAATGTGGGGGATCAAACTTGGGTTTTATGCATGCTAGGCAAGTCTATTTTCTATGCTCCATCATAACCTATATAAAATAAGTATTATTATGTTTAATGCTTCAAGCCTAGCACATATAACAGTGCTTGTATATAATCAACCCTTGGAAAATTTGGATTGAATGAACGAATTAGTGAATGAGTTCAACCCTAAACTCCCCTACACCTGAGGCTGAGACTTGTGTGTATAGGTCATATGCGCTCCCTAATACTTTCAGAGTATGAGTTCTCTTCCGCCCACACATTCCCAGAGCTCCCTGCATTGCTCCAGGTCCCAAGTTGAGCAGGCCAGACTCTCACCAGCAGGATGAGAAAGAGGAAGCCAGACCTGGAAAAGCAAAGCAGGAGGAAACCAAGAGAGGCCAGAGGTCACCTCCCATGAGGCCAGCAAGTATCACTGTTGGCGCAAACAGCACACTGAGTTCTCCTGTACATCCCAACGGGAGATGGGCATAGCAACGAGCCACTCAGATTTTAGTCAAATGCTCAGAAACCTGTGACTTCCTTCCAGGAAATCTGTCCAATTGGATGGGAGCCTTACCTGGGGATCCAGGCAAATTCAGCCCCAAGGGAAGAAGATGAAGCCATACTATGAACATCTCAGTCCTTGGACAGTCAATTCTAGAAGACATAAAAACTCAGAGCTTCTGAAGTGGTCCATGCCAGGATGTGAAGGGCATGGGGCCAGTTGGAAAAACTGCTGGGACTCCATTGCCTTCTGAACAGTGAGCAGCCTTGGGCTGAGCAAAGGTGGAAGGGAGCAGGTCCTTGGAACACCCTGGTAGCTTCCATATCTTCATCACAGAAGCAGGAGAAAAATGGCATCTCTGCCATCAAGATCTCCTGACTTGGGCAGCTTGTCACGTGGCTTTTCCTGTAACTGGTGCCCCATTCTGTCTGAGGAGGAATCTAAATGCACAGGTTTAAATCGTGTTGCTTCGGTGAAAGCTTACCCAGGGTCCAGAGGAATTAACTGTACCCCTAGAGTCGGAATTAACATTGCATTCAGACCTCAAGCCTGCAATGGATTAATTAATTCTGCCTTTAAAGGGGAGGAAGAGAAGCTCTGGTCTTTTGAGAGCCACTATAAACTTCTCCTTCTTTTGTCAGTTTTATCAACCTTTTCTTTAAAGGCTAGTCACAACTTTATTGTTTTTTTTTTTTTTTTCTTCTTCCGTGCCCTTTCAAGTGAAAAGGAACTTCTAGTAACAACCCAGGCATTCAGAACAGTGTGTTCCTGAGAAACCCTGGGCAGCTGACAGACAGTACCCAGCCTGGACTAGAAGCCTGCTCCTATGCTGGGTCTGGTCCTTGGAGGTGTGCAAACTGTTGGGGGCACAGATGCTTGGGAAATGAGTAACAAAAGATGGAAGGGAAAACCTCTTCCAAGACAGAGTCTCTCCTGCACATGGTTCCTGCTCCATTTGAGTCCCGTGGGAGTGACAGCATTAATCACGTTCACAGTGGATGCAGCGTGCCCCACTCCAGGGAGCTTGCACAGGATCCCCAAGCCCTCCAGACATCTAGTCACTCTGATACTCACGCTGCCTGTGCCGCCCCCCTCCTCTTCCCAGGGACAATCCATTGCTAGCTCCCTTTTCGAAGCAAGAAGACCTAGCCAGTCTTTTTCATAGGTCACCAAAACATAATGAAATCCAGGCATGGTAGCCCCCTGTTTATAATCCTAGCACTCAGGAGGCAGAGGCAGGAAGATCCCCAGTTCCAGGCCAGTCTTGGCTACATAGCAAGACCTGTTGGAGGGTGGAACACTTCAGAGGCCCCTGGTGACTTCTCTGTCCTCACTTTGCAAGAACTGTATGTCCAAAGTCTGATATCCATAATACTAGTCAAATCCTTTCCCTACCCACTAGACTCAGCTTGAGCCCAGGGAATGTGCTTCTTTGCCTCTTTGAAGCAACCAGACTCATGACACACAGTCCCTAGCTTTGGTCTCCGTCCAGCAGCCAGGATTGCAGAGTATTCTCTAAGCACTTTTCCATCACTGCCCTCTTGTCTGGCCATGGCAGAGAGTGATTTTCATAGGGGCTGCACATCACCCACCTTCTCTGGGTGCCTTCCAAGCTGCTGCATCTCCTGGGGTGGGATCTGCAGGCAACTTCATCTCTTTAATGATGTTTTCTCTCTTCTGTATCCCAGGATAGCAGCCTTCTCCTCTTTCTTCATTTTCTTTTGAGCAAGCTAGAGCCAATTCCCAAGCACTGTATCTCTGTTGTAACTCTGCATGGCTTTTCAAGGTAGATTTTATGGTTATTCACAGCAGAGAAAGCTCGGAGCTGTTTTCTCTCCCAGCCCCCCCTTCCCCCCAAGAGCCAGCTTGACAAAGTAATTCCCAACCACCCAGGCTCCTCCCAGCAGGGAGAACATCACAGGTTCAGATATAACACAATAAAAACAGCAGCTTGTTTTCTCGACAGTAGCTTTTGTAGCAAATAGTGTCTTCTTCCATTGAATTGATCAGGGCTGTCTGTTGATTCCTAAGACCTTGGCCAAGCTGCCATTAAGGAATCCCTGCTGCTCTTCTGTCTTCTTACCTAATTATTCCAGAGCTCCTTAAGGCAAAGTGAGGCGCAGCCACCCAGTCCTCCACCAGGAGATGAAGGAAGGAAGACACTTTGCTCTACAAAGCTAGCGGCAGAATTGAAAGCTAATGGCCTTCTGTGGTCTACCAAACCAATCCCCATAGTCCTCTGCAGCAAGCTGACTTTGGTCCCTTATACCAGACACACCAGTTTTTCTATCTCCCGTTAAAACTCCTGAAAGCATTCTATGAGCCCATCCTAGTACAAGTGACAGGACCAGGTTCCTGTCCTTGAGGCTGACCTGCTAAGGATCATGTGCCAGGTAAAGCCAAGCTTGTGAAATTTCGAAGGCCAGGACAGAGTGACTGGGCTGTTGTGAAGGCAGGGCAAGGTTAAGTTCCAGAGCATACTTACTTAAGTGTGGAGGGCTCCTAATATTCCCTTGAGAGGTCATTGGAGGTAACCCTCTTCCTCCTTTTGTTACAATCCCAACAGTTATCCCTCATTACTAAAGACAAATCAACCGCTGTCATCTGAAAGAATCCAGTGAACATCTCAACCCCGTGGACCAAAAAAATAAACATTAGTGTCAATGCTTTGTTGGCTAACATCCATGTCATTTGAACCCCCAAAGATGTTATAGAATAAAATCAGTGCTTACACCTAGACTGTTTTATCCAAGACAGGGTCTCGTGCAGCCCAGGCTGGAATTGAACTCACTGTGCAGCTGAGGACTACTTTGAACTTTCCAGGGAACTTGCCTCTCAAGTGCTGTGACTGTAGACATACACCACCACACTCAGTCTATGCAGTGCTGGGGCATCAACCCAGGACTTCATGCATGGTAGGCAATCACTCTACCAACTGAGCTACACGCCTACATCAGAGCTTTAAATTACTAAACATTTAAATGAGATCCTGATGGCCTTCCTACAGTAAATCTCAGCGGAACTGGCAGCAGTCGCTAACAGACATGGAGAATCAGTATGTTGTCTGGGCTCTAAGATGGCTTCCTAGAAATGTAGTGCTTTTCAGGCAGTGTCTTAGGGTTTCTACTGCTGTAATAAAACATCGTGACCCAAGGCAACTTGGGGAGGAAAGGGTTCATTTCCCTTACATGTCCACATCACACTCCATCACCGCAGGCAGTCAGGATAAGAACTCAAGGCTGACACCTGGAGGCTGGACCAAAATGGAAGCCATGGAGGGATGCTTCTTACTGGCTTGCTCCTCATGGCTTACTCTCTTATAGCCCCCAGGACCAACAGCCCAGGAGTGGTACTGCCCGTATTGAGCTAAGCCCTCCTTCATCAGTCATCAGTCAAGAAAATGCACCACAGGCCAGTCTAGTAGAGGCATTTTCTCGGGTGAAGTTTCCTCTTCCACGATGACACTAGCTAGCCAGTAATGGTGAAGACTGAGATCTGATTGACACATGGCAAGCAAAAATGTGAGTCAAGCGTTTCTGGAGGAGAGATTATAGGAAGGTTCCCCCATGGAGGTTTGGTTTGAGACCCTAAGAGTAGGGGTCTTTGGGGGATCACTGACTGAACCCAAGTGCCCAGCTCATAGCAGATGTTCATAAACACCAAGAGAAGGAATAAAATGTGGATTTTATTTTTATTTAAAATGTAGGAGTCCCGCCTACATTCCATCATCCCTAATGACCCGTTCTAGAGCAGGATGTTGGCATAACCTGGACTCCTCTGCTTCTCTTCCTACATTCCTTTTCCTGGAAGGAAACTTCTGGGTTGCATGTATATGTCAACAAGCTGTGTGGGTGCCTTCGTTCTGTTATAAGAGTGAAACATGTCACCCTCTCATAAGGTGTGCTTGGTTCTCTTCGTCGTAAACAGATGAAGACTTGAAGCACCTCATGCTCCGGTGGAGAGATGCCAATGAAGTGCCGATCCCAGCATGCACCAATGGACACACGGCCCTGTACTTCTCTGTAATGTGATAAGAAGTGGCTGATGGTGAGCACTGTCAGGATAACACAGGCTTACAACGGCATGTGGGTTAATGTTCTTAACAAGAAGGATAATTAGTTCCCCCAAACATTTACACTTGATTTCTAACACTCATTACTTATTATATTTTGTCTTATTTGTGGCCTTTGGTAAACAGTTTGCATTTAACAAGTTGTTTGGCTCTCACAACTCTTGTATTTCATACTCAGGGAGTCAAAGCAACACCCTAGATCAAAGTGAAACACTTTAATTAAATAACCATGAAACTCCCCTCAAGGAAATAATTGTGCCCAAAAGAATAGTTAACAGATTTTCTCCTGTTGTTCCTCTCCATTCTTGACACTGCCCCGTTTGGGCACTATCCTATTGGAAGCTCTCCAGAGCCCAGTGGCATCTGTCCCCTCTGATACGCTAAGGGGGGACCACCAAGGCCGTTCTCAAATTACCTTGGAAGCATCCTCTAGATGAGGAATTCCCTGGAGACCCCAATCCAGTGTGCGAATGGTAGAGCCTAAGTCTGGATCCAGGAAAAGCTCCCTGGTGCTTGTGGTGGAAGTCGGTACGCAGGAACAAATACATCACCGAACTCTCCCGGAAGAGCCTGAGCAAGACTGTCCTACATGGCGGTGTTTTCTCCAGAGGGGGCACAGACTTGGGGGTGGGGGGAGAAGATCTGAGCATTGCTGACTGTTAGTCAGCATTCTATCACCGTAACAAGTATCCAAGAAAAAAAAAAAAAACAATTAAGGAAGGTGTACGCAGCTCATGACTTCAGAGGTTTCCATGGTTACATTTTTACCATTGCTTTGGAGCTGTGCTGAGGCAGAGCATCAGGGTAGGAAGCATGTGGCAGAATTAAGCTGCTTTATGGTGGCCAGGAAGCAACAAGAGAGACAGGAAAAGGCAGTCCTGATACCCACTTCCAGGGCATAGCTCTGTGACTGATTTCCTTTAGGCTGCCCCTTCAAAAGGCTCCCTCATCTCTCGATAGCACCATGGACTGGGACCATGCCTTTAACACAAGGACTTAGGGGAGGCATACAAGAGCCACCCCACAACACTGATGAGTCCTGAGCACTTGATATAGATGCTACAGGGTGTGGTTTCAATGTGGCTCGTGTATTTGAACACTTGGGCCCCAGCTGGCCATGCTGTCTCGGAAGGTTGTAGAGCTGTTGGAAGATAGGACCTAGCAGGAGAAAGTGGATCACTGAGGATCGGGCCTTGAGAGTTACAGCCCAGGCCTGCTTTCTGGTGGAGCCCTGAGCTACCTCATTGGTGATGTAATATAACCTCATCTGCCTCACGCTCCCACAGCCTCCGCCACTCCGGCCACCAAACCTTCCCTACCGCGATGGACCATGAGCCCAAATAAATCTTTTCTCTTGGAAGTTGCTCCTTGCCAGGTATTTGGTCACTGAGAAACACAGACAAAAATCCCCCCCCTGAAAGTAACCCATCAGGAAGGCCCTTGTTAGCTCTGTCCTCCATTTTCTCGGCAGGACTTCGCATGGTGAAGAACACAGCAGGTGAATAAAGTTGGTGTGAACAAGCGAACCGACCTCATGCTGGTCACTATACACACAGTACTCATTTAACTCACTCTTCATAAAACCGAATAAAGGAGGTGTGATCATCCCAGTAGACATATTACATACCCTATTTAGGAGGTAATGGAGGTACTCGCTAGCCAGGAACTGACTAACAAGAAGTTTGTGTTGAGCTCCGAAGTCCTTGTGAGGTGCACAGTCCACACCAGTCAGGAAGACAGGCCGCAGTGGGCGGAGCTTACACTAGTTCCTGCCTTCCACATGCCCATCCTGCTGGGGTCATCGAAGACCTCCAGCCTACACTCACTTCCTCAAAGACCCACCCTGACTCTGTCTCCGTTAGAAGGTGGATTCCAGAATGCATTGCCCGTCTGCATTAGGCTTCTGCTGTATCCAGGAGAATTCACCTATCCAAATAATAAGAGAATCTTCACTTGTCCATTTTCTTCCCAGGCCCTCACAAGAGAAAGCTACCTGTAAGATTCATTCTTGGAACCCCTGTATATTTAGATGAAGCCCCTTACAACCCAGCCGGTCACTGTTAACTCTCTTCCCAGGCTCTCCAGTCTCTGTATCCATATTGTTCTCCCCTGGTAAGATTCTACGTATGTTCTGGATCATCTTGAGTTTCCCTTGGCTCATCATCCCGATGACTCTTCTGGCTTTAAGAATTGCCCTATCCTCCAGACACTCCTCTTTCTGGCCCAGTGTGATCTGGCAGATATCCTGTCACCTCCCAATAGTGCTCTAGGCTGCCAAGCCAGCCTTCGATGCATGGGCTGGGGTGGGGCATTCAGTATCCCAACTACAGCAATGCCAAAGTTAAGCAACCGTTAAAGAGGTCCCATCATGTACAGATTCTGGTCCTGACTCCATAAAAGAGCATTTTATTTTATTATTTTATTTTTACCTTTCCATGACCTAGATTTTGCCTTCACTGGTCTCATATTAGGCAAGCCACTGTTTCCATGAATTATCCCCCTACCTATAATGGCCTCCACACTATTTAATGGCTATAACCCCATTTGACTCATCTTCTGCACTTTAGTTCAGATGTCACCTCCTCTAGAAAGTCTCAGGTGGGACCTACCACCCACCCCCATGCCCTCACAGCACCCTTAGCATATTGTGCTGAAGTTCGAAGCACCTCAAGGGCAGGGCTAAGTTTGATTCCTTGCCAAGTGGATCACCACCTGACACACAATGAATGTTCCATGAATGTTCCAGAATGAGTGCAGATCACATTGCAGAGCTTGGGAGAGAATCTCCACCAGACAGAGGCCTGCTCTCCTTCCTACTGACGATGAGTATAGTGTTCTGAGATTGAGCACCATCAACTCATTACGTCATGGACCAGGTGTCAACAGATCTGAGGTTGTGTGACTGTGTAGAAGGAGCATCGGACCGTGTAGGAGCTACATAAAGCAGCTTGTCCTCTTAGCTCCCAGGATTTCCACCTCACCAATTCCTGTGCTCAAACCAAGCCCAGAGAGACCCTGAGCCACATCCTCTACACAAGCCAGATGGCTCCCTCTAACCCAGATCACATACCTAGAAAGTGACCACGACTACTCACAGAGGACTATGAAGGCAGAGCTGCTGGGTAAGTATGCTTCCTACATGAAAAACAAACTTAAAATAAGTTCTGTCCCAAACTGGGTTGGGAGACTCATTTTCATACATGAGTAATAATAGCACATCAATATGGTACCTTGCTGGGCAAGTGTGCCCCAATTTTTTTGCATAGATAAATGAGAATTTCAAAGGATGTCTCCCAAAACTCCAAGCCTTTCTCAGGTTGTCACTTCTGTGCCTGGTCCTGAGGAGAAAGGGTGATGGTGAGAGAGAGAGAGACTTTCCATGCCTCTATGACACTCTCTCTTCAGTGATAGGGTTTCGGAGCCATAAAGGCACATTGTATTTCCAAGGCTTGTGTGATCTTATTTCTTTGTAAATTGGATTAAGCTCTTTACTGTGTATTACCGATATTAAAAAAGAATGAATTCACATCTTGCAAACACAGCAAAAAAGCAATCGCTCCCATGGCAAAGAAGTCATTGGCCAGCATCCACAAGAAACCAATTTTAACTTTCAAGCCCAGTCAGCAGGCGGGCATGCTGGCTGATGGCAGGGTCAGCCCTAGGCAACACTGTGAGCTACATGATATGAGCTGTCAGCATCCCCGTCATCCCCTCCCGCCCTCCTTCCTTCCCTCGCCTTTTACTGCCTCTTTAACTCACCCTCCTCCCAGTCACTCCACCCTCTTCCCAGCCACTCCACCCTCCTCCCAGTCACTCCACCCTCCTCCCAGTCACTACACCCTCCTCCCAGCCACTACACCCTCCTCCCAGTCACTACACCCTCCTCCCTGTCACTACACCCTCCTCCCAGTCACTACACCCTCCTCCCAGTCACTACACC